CTTGGATGAGAAATACCTCGGCACCCCAGACGCCGGCTCCCCCTTGTTCCAGACTCACCTGTTCAGGGTCTAGCTCTTGCCACCTGACACCAAATCCCAGTCTTCATCTACCCCTCACCCCACTAGAGGAACAGTATAAGAGGTGCTTTGCCTCAGGGGGACAGCCAGGCTGGGGGGGCAGTGGGCTCTGGCCCAAGACTGGGGACAGTACAGCCCCAAGGCTCTTAACAGTAGTGAATTGTGCATGCCAGGCCACACATCTGTAGCCTTCTAGGAATAGGTAGGACCCTGAGCAGTATTGTGGGCTTCTGGGGTGGATGAAACCCTGCCGTCCCAGTCCAACTCTGCCAAGGTCCAAGGCCACAGCATCAGCTGGAAGGCACCATTCCATTGTACGTCCTCGGGACCAGGTGTCCCTCCCAGCAGCTGAGAGATGTCTAAAATTTGTTCCAGGAGGATAGTCATCCAGTCAGAATTAAGTCTTCCACAGACTTAATTGCTGCCCTCTGCTCTGCCACAAGTTGTTTTGCAGTTCATGTATAGTAAGGAAGCCTTCTCCATAAGGGCAAGCCATCTCTGGATTCTGTTTTGCACTACGCCTCCTCATAGCTAGCTCTCTCCAAACTGCTAGCATCCAGAAATAATGACTTATGATCACATGAGAAAAGAACATTGACAATTAATAAAAGATCACTGCCTTGAGGCACCTGGGTGGCTCAGTTGGTTAAGCATCTGACTTCGGCTCAGGTTATGACTTCATGGTTGCTAAGTTTGAGGCAGTGGGCTCTGCACTGACACTACAGAGTCTGCTTGGGATTCTGTCTCTCTCCCTGTCTCTCCCTCTGTCTCCCTCTCTCTCTCTGCCCCTCCCCCACTCATACTTTATCTCTCTCAAAATAAATAAACTTAAAAAAGATTATTGCCATATTTATATACTTGGATTATCATGGCTAATCATGTATTTTTACTAAGATGAACTGTTATAGTCAAAACCATTAGAGTTTTATAAAAAATTATCATCTTTTTGCCCTTCCAAATAAATGTAAGTGGAATCCCAGAGGAATCAGAGGGAAGTAGGGGATAAACTATATTTGGAAAAATAATGGCTAAAAAGTTTCCAAATTTTGTGAAAAGTGTAAATCCATAGAGCCAAGGAAGATGATGCGTTCCAAGTGGAATAAACACAGAGAAACCAATCCAAGGGCTATCTTAATTGTTGAAAACCAGTGATAAAGAGATCTTAAAGGAATTTAAAATGAAGGGATACGTTATGTAAAATAAAGTACCTCTCAGAGGTAATACAAGGCTTGGGACAATGGGATGACATCTTTAAAGTGTTGAAAAGTCAAAAGTCAACCTGGAACACTAATCTAGCAAAAATTTCTTTCAAAAATGAAGGTGAAATATATTTTTTTCAGTCAAACAATAGCCAAGATAATTTGTTAGCAGACCCACACTGCAAAAGTGTCAAAGTTTTTTAGGTAGAAGGAAAATCATATCAGTAAGAAACTTGGATCTACACAAAGGAATGAAAAGCACCAGAAACGCTTAATATGTGAATAAGTAAAAATATTTTAGTATTTTGTCTCTTTAAAGATAATTGACCATTTAAAGTGGACAGATGGGGGCGTCTGGGTGGTGGCTCAGTCGGTTGAGCGTCAGACTGGCTCAGGTCATGATTTCGCGGTTTGTGGGTTCGAGCCCTGTGTGGGGCTCTGTGCTGACAGCTCAGAGTCTGGAACCTGCTTCAGATTCTGTGTTTCCTTCTCTCTGCTCCTCCCCCACTCACACTGTCTCTCTCTTTCTCAAAAATAAACATTTAAAAAAATAAAGTGGACAGATGACTTATGATTCTACTAGTGGTAATGGTAATGGTTGGTGAGGCAACCAACTTGAGCTTTCTCCTTTTTTTCTCAGTAGATCTTGTTTCTTGTTACAATATAAATTAACATAGATGAATGTAGAACTACCCAGATCATTTTGTGTGGCCCAGGTAAGGCACACAGAAATGCACAATTCACTCCAATATATGAAATTAATACAACAACTTTTTAATGGTCTTTATTATGTAAAATACTGTGTTGATCACAAGCCATTGATATTCTTCTGGAAAACCCCCACAGTCTCACAGAGTTTAGCTGAGAATTCTTCCCATATGGCCACGTTTAGTAACAGATTTATGCAAACTTATACTCAAATCATCTCTTTTGTAAATCACATCTAAAATCATTGTTTTTTTTTTGTTTCTATTAAATATTAATTCCACTAGGTGGAGTCATTTGCTTAGTTTTTGTGGTTCACACTAAAGAGCTTAAAAATAACACATATAATAAGTAGGGAACAAGTCAGAAAAAAGACAAATAACCCTCCCAAGATGTGGTGCTTTGGGCTATATTAGCTTAGCAGACGTATCTTCATTACTACACAGAGTTCACTACAGTTGACCTTTGAACAGCAAAAAGGTTAGAGGCACCAAACTCCCAAACTCCGTGCAGTCGAAAATCTATATATAACTTTTGAGTCCCCCAAAACATTACCAATAGCCTACTGTTGACTGGAAGCCTTACTGAGAACATAAACAGTTGAACAGAGGGGCGCCTGGGTGGCGCAGTCGGTTAAGCGTCCGACTTCAGCCAGGTCACGATCTCGCGGTCCGTGAGTTCGAGCCCCGCGTCGGGCTCTGGGCTGATGGCTCAGAGCCTGGAGCCTGTTTCCGATTCTGTGTCTCCCTCTCTCTCTGCCCCTCCCCCGTTCATGCTCTGTCTCTCTCTGTCCCAAAAATAAATAAACGTTGAAAAAAAAAATAAAAAAAAAAATAAACAGTTGAACAGAGAACTTAAACATACATACACACGTACATATTTTGTATGTCATATGTATCATATGCTTTATTTTTACAATCAAGTAAGTTAGAGAAAAGAATGTCAAGAACAGCAGAGAAGAGAAAATACACTTACAGTATGGTATGTATCCAAACCATAAGTTTACCTCAACTGTTTACAAGATGAATTGTCTGTTGGTACCTACATCAATATTGTCGTACAGGATACAGAACACTGTCGATGTATGTGTTACTAACACCAGACATGACAAATGAGAAGATAGTGTACAGTCTGTAAGTGTTGATACTTTTTAGCTTTTTGCAATAGATTTGTATATGTTTTATGGTAGTAAATGATAAAATAGACCAGTATGTCTCTATATTTTATGCATTTATGACACATGTAACTTTTTCTTGATTCTTTCATTATTTCTAGTCTACATGATTCATTTGTGAGTTTTTTCTTTTTTTAAAAAAAAATTTTTTTTTTCAACGTTTATTTATTTTTGGGACAGAGAGAGACAGAGCATGAACGGGGGAGGGGCAGAGAGAGAGGGAGACACAGAATCGGAAACAGGCTCCAGGCTCTGAGCCATCAGCCCAGAGCCTGACGCGGGGCTCGAACTCACGGACCGTGAGATCGTGACCTGGCTGAAGTCGGACGCCTAACCGACTGCGCCACCCAGGCGCCCCATTGTGAGTTTTTTCAAATTATTGCAAATCTCCAAAGAATTTTCCGATATATTTATTGAAAAAAATATGTGCATAAGTGAACCTGCACAGTTCATCCTTTGTTGTTTGAGGGCCAACTGTATTTGCTTTTAATGTTTAGCAAAGGACAGTAGCAAGTTTTCTAGGTAGGTAGTGTCTAAATTTTTTCTTCCCAATAGTTGGAACTTTAAAACAGCCCCTGAGGGGTGAACAGATTATTAACCAGGCATCTTAAGTTTTCTCATTTAATCCTGTCAGATGGTTCTTTCATTCAACAGTGATGTATTCAATAAGTGTCTGTTACGAAAAGATACATATATATATATATATATATATATATACACACATATATATATACGTATATATATATGTTGTTTTCACTATAGTTCAGCTATGTCATATTTAACTAAGAAGATATAAGGAACATTATTTTTTTTTTATTTTAAATGTTTTTATTTATTTTTGAGAGAGAGAAACAGACAGAGTAAGTGGGAGAGGGGCAGAGAGAGAGAGAGGGAGACACAGAATCCGGAGCAGGCTCCAGGCTCTGGGCTGTCAGCACAGAGCCCGACATGGTGCTCGAACTCATGAACCCTGAGATCATATCCCAGGCTGAAGTCAGACGCTCAACCGACTGAGCCACCCAGGTGCCCCGATATAAAGAACATTATTAATGTATACATATTGAAATGTAATACTTTAGTCCTTATATCAGCAACCTAATGTAAGATGACACCTCTTCAGATAATAGGGAAATAATATTTATTCATTTTTGAAAATGCTATGCAAGTGACACAAATGTGTGGAACGTTTTTTCAAGTAGCTGTAATATAAAAGGCCTAAAGGATTGTGGGGAAACTTTTTCCAGCGTGAAGCTTTTTTGTTGCCATCTTCTTGGGTTTCTACTTTTCTGTTTTTATTGGTACCAACATTATATGGAAACAATATCTTTCCAGTTAAATAGGAAATTCATCTGCTCTTTATTTTGTATTTGAAGTTTTAATGCTCTGTGTCATCAGTTCGTTGACCTCAAGGAAGGAAGTCTCTGAAATGTTGAACTTTATGAGAGCAACCCAATTCTCTTTTTGTGCAATTGGTTTTTAAAAAAGTCTTTCTTGTATGAGTACTATTGTCTCCAGTTTTATTGTTTTAAAGATACTCTATTAATTACCTACAGCTGCTCTTGTAAATGGATTAAAAACACAACAGACTTTTGTCCTCCAATCCCTTAGAGAAAATCTAGTGACTGATGTTATTTCCTTTTTTTTTTTCCTCTTCATCTTACATCTGTGGGAAAAGGATGACAAATCAGATGTTTATGAAAGTATTGTTAGAAAGGATTCTGAGTTTTCATATCTAATATGTCTCATTTTAAGATAATTCTGATTTTTTCCTTTATTCAGCATATATCGAATAAAATAAGATGTCTAATTCGTGCACAAATCTTACAACTGATTTTTCTCTTTAGGATGAAGGCCTGGCTCGCCAGTTGGTGGAGCTAGGCTACCGGGGGACCAGAGAGGTGGTGAAAAGGGAAGATTTTGAAGCAAGGAAGGCAGCTATAGAGATTGCAAGGCTGGCTGAAAGAACTCAGAAAAAGTAAGTGTCTGTGTTTCCAACCTGGGTTTTATATTATATTGTAGAGTCTCTGTAAAAGCCCAATCTCGCTGGCATTGTTGTCATTTAGGAACATGGGCCGGAGCGGGTAGAACTTAGAATATCCTCAGCATGTGCTCTGCAGACCAGGGACTGAAGGAACTGTGACATGCTTGCAGGAAGCCACATGCAGCTTTGAGCTACTAACTTAAGAAATAGAAGTACCCAAATACTTCTATTTTATTGTACTGAAAGTCTTGTTAGAAAGTAAGGCAGTGTTATAGGCTTTATGTATTTATATAGTAAAGACTATGAGTGACTTTTGTCTTAGAATTCTTTGTACTTTTGAGACCTTTACATCTTTGGCATCATTTATGTTCTTACATTTTTGTGAACATTGATTCATTTCACTTTATTAACGGTCTCTGGCTTTTGTTAATGTGACTAATATATAGTTGCATAAAATAGGAATCTAATTAAGTATATTAAACATATTATAAAAGAGATGTACACCTAAAGTGAACTATATCAACTGATAACCTAATTTGAAAGATGTGACAAAGCAGGACACCTGGGTGCCTCAGTTGGTTAAGCGTTCAACTCGTGATTTTGGCTCAGGTCATGATCTCAGGGTCATGAGATTGAGTCCCATGTGGGCCTCTGTGCTGGGTGTGGAGCCTGCATAAGATTCTCTCTCTCTCTCTCTGTCTCTCTCTCTCTCTCTCTCTCTCCCTCCCTCCCTCCCTCCTCTGCGCACATGTTCTCTCTCTCTCCCTCTCTCTCAAAAAAAGAGAGAGAACACACAAGTTCTCTCTCTCTCCCTCTCTCTCAAAAAAAAGAATAAAAAAAAAAAAAGATGTGACAAAGCAATTATCTATTTACCTTTTAAAAATGAATGCTAATGTTGTAAATGTTGGAGAGGACAATTACTTAGGAATTGGTGTATTATTCTTAAGTATAATTTTAAACTACCCCAAAATTATGAGTAGAAATTTCTCATGTGTTTATTATAGCACGTAACGTTTGGGAGTGGAACATGAACTAGTTCCAGGAGTGTGCGATTTGAATTGATTGTTCTAGTAGTTACTGTGTTTCATTACCATAGAATATTGGGATTTAATATATCGACATTTGGTAATGTATTAGTTATCTGATGCTGCCATAACACGTTACTACAAGCTTAGTGGCTTAAAACAACACAAATGTTTTTATTCATAATGTTCTGTGGGTCAGAAGTCAAGGGTACATTGGCTCAGCTGGGTTCTCTGGTCAGTACATCACACGGTTGAAATCCTGGTGTTTGCTGGACTGAGCCCTCTTCTGGAGGCTCTGAAGATGAATCTGCTTCCAGACGCATTCAGGTTGTTGGCCGAATTCAGTTCCTTGTGACTGTGGAACCCTGAGACCCCCATTTCTTTGTCAGCTGTCATTCTGGGGGCTGGTCTTTTGGGGGCTGGGCTGTGGGGTCCTACAGGCTGCCCACATTCCTCCTCATGCTTTCTGTGTGGTCCCCTTCCAGCAAGAGGAGGTCAAGATTCTCTTGCTCTTCAGATCTCTCTGAGTTCTCCTTCTGCAGCATCTTTCCTTATTCCAACCAGAGAAAGATCTCTCCTTTTAGGGGCTTATGTGGTCACACTGGGTTCATCTAGATTATCCTGATAATATCCCTGTTTTAGGGTCTATAACCTTCATTACATCTGCAAAGTCCCTTTTTCCATGTAATGTAACATGTTCACAGTCTTTAGGAATTAGGGCATGGGCATCCTGGGAGGTGGGCATTCTGTTTACCACACGTAATTTACATAAAAGTTCGATAATTTATTCAACATCGTTACGCATGACTTCTATTCTTAAAAATTTGAAATGATGCCAACTATATGTGTACAATGTGATGTGTCTTATATAGACTATCAGGGGAGTCTTCTCTTTCTGTATCAGTAAATGTTTATCAGGAGCAAAAGTGGACAGAGTTTTGTGAGATTTTATAAGGAATTAAAATATATTCATCTTTTATTAGAGGTGTGCCCTATTTCGTGTTAAGAGGAGTGGGCCATGGTTAAAGTGCAAGTGTACATGTCCATTTTGTGTTTGAGGATCAAAGTGAGTATTTACTCCATGCAATAGTCTCTTTAACTGGCCAGAACTGGAAGTCATCAGGCTGCTTGAGTACCCACCATGGGAGGCTAATCCCCACCCAGTGTTGCTAGAATCCCAAGGCCTTTCATCTGCAAATCTTCTCTGAGTGATTTTGTAACGGGATGGGCCCCATATGTTGCCTCTTGCCCCATCTGGGAGTCACTTTGCTCCTTTCCCTCCCAGGTCTATTGTAGTTTCTTGACAGCAGGGCCAGCAGAGGGTGACCTAGAGCCAAATATGCCCTGGGCCTAGATTTGCTGGAGAATCACTTTGAAAAATACACATGAACATCTGCCCGTCTGCCAATTGGTGCCAACATGGAAACGCTTGATTCTACTATCAGATTACCTTATATTAACTTATCTAATGTGCAGGTGAGGAGTCCCACGTAGATCCCAATCCTCTGGTCTGGTAATCATAGAGCACCCATGGTGGGGTACCTGGGTGGCTCAGTTGGTTGAGTGTCCTACTCTTGATTTCAGTTCAGGTCATGATCTTGGGGTCATGGGGTCATGCTGTCAGTGTGGAGCCTAATTGGGATTCTATTTCCTCTCTCTCTGTCACTCTCCCTCATTTACACGCTTTCTCTCAATACAAAACAAAAAAACAAGTGATGGCACCTAAAAGTAAGTTATTTACTTTGATTAGTTTCAGAGGGGGAGTCTAGAGAGAAGAAAGTTAGATATTGGAGGGAGCACTGTAATGAAGGGGTATTTTGATAAGGATTTCTCCAAAAGAGGGCATAAGGTGAAAAAAAATTATTGTGGGCTTTTGATTTACTCATTCACTTTATAAATACTCATAACACAACTATATTGCATTAGGCACTGTGCTAAATGCTGGGGATATGATAGAACATAGGACAATCCCTGCCCTTAAGAAATTTGAGCACTAGATAAATGAGAGACGATTACATCTCTGGTGGGACTGTGAAACAGAAAACAGTTTGGGGGCTCTTTAAAATGTTACACACAGAGTTACCATATGACCCAGCAATTCCTTTCCTAGGCGTCTCTCCAAGGGGATTGAAAATGTAGGTCCACTTAAAAACTTGTTCGCTAATGTTCATAGCAGCATTAGTCATAGTCACCATAAAGTGGAAATAATCCTGGGACGCCTGGGTGGCTCAGGTGGTTAAGCATCTGACTTCGGCTCAGGTCATGATCTCACAGTTTATGGGTTCGAGTCCCGCGTTGGGCTCTGTGCTAACAGCTTGGAGCCTGGAGCCTGCTTTGGATTCTGTGTCTCCTCCTCTTTCTGCTTCTCCCCCATTCATGCATGCTCTGTCTCTCAAAAATAAATAAAAGTTACAAAAAAAAATTAAAAAGTGGAAATAATCTGAATGTCCATCACCTGATCAATGGGTAAAAAAAAAAAAAATTGGCATATAGATACAATGGGATATTATTCAGCCATAAAAAGGAGTGAAGTACATATTGTTACATGCTACAACAAAGATAAACCTTGAAGACACCAGGCTAAGTGAAAGAAGTGAGAAAAAAAGACTATATACTGTGTAGTTCCATTTACATAATGTGTCCAAAGTAGGTAATTGCATAAAATGCATAGACAGAGGGAGACTTGTAGTTGCCAAGGGCTGGAAGGAAGGGTGAATGGGAAATGACTGCTAATAGGTATGAGTTTTCTTTTTGGGGTGATAAAATGTTCCAGACTTAGATACTGGAGGTGATTGCACAGCTTTGTAAACGCACTAAAGACATTGAATTGTACACCTTAAAAGTTTGAATTTTATGGCATGTGAATTATGGCTCAATAAAAACAAATAGGACAGAAAATAATGCATTCCGTCAGAGGCGCTGTGGTGACACCCTGAAGCGGCACTATGTCAAGATTTGGTGGATGGGAAGAACAGGGCAAGCTCTTCGGAAGGCATGACGGCTAACTTCACTCTTAAAGGATAAGTAGGAATTAACCAGGCAAAGAAGTATGTGGAGATGGACACATCCTGTGACAAACTCCATCTGGTGACAAACTCCCGTTCTTCACAAATCTTTCTCTCTACCTCTTTGTCTTAACATGCATCTGTTCTCTTGCTGAGACTTTTCCCCCTAAAGCCCTGCCAGCTAGAGGCCACTTGTTTCTACACTTTCTGGGGTGGTGTGGTAGTGAGTGGGTTTTTCATTCTGCCTAGTTCCCACAATCTTTGCTTCAAAACCATCTGTGCTTTATTATCAAGTAAACATCATCTCTCATCTGCCCTGCACTGAGATTCATGGCAGCTGGTATAGTGGCCATAAGGCAGAGGCTTTAAATGTTGTGAAGAAGGAATGGGTATAGTTTAGTTGGTGAACTTTTTGTCGAGACTGAATGTTCTGCTCTCCACGGTGTGGCCATTCCCATCATAAGTTCTGGAGAATTTCCATTTGTAGTGAGAAGTTCAGTTTATTTATTTTTTATTGAAATAAATGTCTATTTTGAGACAGAGAGTGCACATGGGCGTGCACAAGTGAGGAAAGGACAGAGGGGAGAGAGAGAGAGGGAGAGAGAGAATATCCCCAGGAGGCTCCTCACTGGCAGCACAGAGCCTGACATGGGGCTTGACCTCACTAACCATGAGATCATGACCTGAGCCGAAATCAAGAGTTGGACACTTCACCGACTGAGCCACCCAGGTGCCCAGAGAAGGTCACTTTATTTCCACAGGTGATGGAGAGATGGACCTTAACTGTTTGCAACACAGGTTGAGTATTGGGTTCTTGGGGTATATTTAGTAGTTTAAGGCACTGTTATTCCCATTCCTTTTAGCAAGTCACCATTTATGACAGGCTCTTTACATTCACCCTGGCCCACAGAGGACAGCCACTGAATCTCTTTTTTAGTGAGTTTGGTTCTATTCTGACCAGTGC